AATTTTCGAATGTAAAATTCCTCACGACTTTTTTGCAAGTTAGATTGTGCTCTCAAACTCAAAATGTCTATATCCACCCCTACAAGTAGATAGCTCTTAAGACGATGCAGTATCACCCCTATAGAGTTGATCTTCATTCCATTCCCCAAACAAATACTTCAGCTGACTGTAGAAGCATACAGTATTTAAAAACTTCGTTCCTAAATTTTTTGGATTTTGAGTTTTGGTCCTTGATTATTCTGAAGTCGGCCTGTTGGTCCACAATTTTTTGTCAACCTGCAAAATGGTTCCTGATTGTTTTGGAATGTTAAAAGCAGTCCCTAAATTTTCTAGTAGATGTAAATCTAGCCCTGAAATTTCTGGAATCTACAAATCGGTCCCTGTATTTGATGTTTGCTCCAAAATGACCCCTAGGTTTTCCGGTACCTGTATTTCAGTCTCTGACGTGTGGTCCTTAGAATTTCCTCTTTGCTGCAAGTCTATTCCCAAAAAAGGGTGTGGTGAGATATTTTTCATCAAATGACACAAGACCAACCAAATTCGGCCTAATTGGCCCGTCCATATGCTGTCTTTAGGTCGAACTTAGATCCAGTGACAACATAGCGGGCTCTATCAACAAGGCCCAAATCCAACCCGTTTAAATAAATATACAAAACCACCGCCCGACTAACTTCGTTGTGCACGGACTCCGAAATGAGAAAATTAGAGGAACGATGTTTTTATTCGGGGATGACAACGGGGCATATGGGGATGGAGGAGTCATTCTCATCCCTTTGCATGCCGTATCCCTGCTTAAGGACGTGGCTCGCCTCATGCCTCGTTTACCAACCTGTTTGTTTTTCTATTTTTTAATGTTTTTAGTTGGTATAAATTATTATTACTTTTTTTTTTTCAATTTGTAGAACAGTCCATATTCTTTAAAAATGATTTTTTTTTTTTTTTTCAGGTTGTGTGATTACAAACTTATATCTTGAAATCGACTTTAAAATTTAAACGGGACTGGTAACGGGATGAGAACCATTACTCGTATCCATTATGTCCTCGCTCTTGGGCAGCAACACCTACCCCATCTTGAGTACCCTATTATATAGAGAAGTTTTGCCATGTTCGAAGCTCGACCCCGTGAGTATTAGGCTCGATGGAATTTTTTACCATCCTTCGATTTAAGTTTGACTTATCAAAGATCATGTAATACATTTTTTTTTCTATTCAGAAATCATGTCT